TTTCACCTTCTACTAAATATAAGCAAATAATTTTCTCCACCTCATTTTTATAGGAAATTTTTTTTGACCTCCTATCAAACACCCCTTTTAAACACGAAAAACTTTGGAGAAGGCCATCCTAAAGAAGCTTGGCCACTGATTAGTTTATAGTGGTAGGATAAGATCACAATGTAGGTACATAAAGAAAAAAATCGATAGGGATATGAACGAGTATAATATATATGCTTTCAAAGTTTGACTTTCCACATTAGACAAACATGTGAGGAATCCTAATTAACTCGGTTGTTAACCCCTTTTTTTTTTTTCTCTGTGTATTTATTATTTATGGAACAGTCGTTGTCGTCCTTTCGGCTTTTCTGGTTTTCTCTTGACCATTTAATACAATGCTTCGATTGTGACATAAACTTGTTAGGAGAGATGGATTTAGAAACCCTCCATATAATAGTTCAAATGTGCACCTCGCATGAGATGGAGAGTATTTTTTAGTGCTTTCATCACATTCAATAATGGGTAGTATTGTCATTTAAAACGCGATACTTTGGTATTTAATAAATAAATTATGCGGAATATTACTTTCATGTCTCTCATGCTATAGAGAAAATTCAAGTAGGGCCCACCAGTAAATAGAAAAAAAAAAGGTGAGATTTTCAAAGTGAAAGAACACGAGATAACTATCTCCCATAAAATGAAAGTAATATTTCTCATAAATTATTTGTGATTGTTTTCATTTTTCTCTCTCTTCAGCACTGACATGTTAAAGTTCCCACAAAATAATATGTCAGGAGGTAATATTTTTTTTTATTGGATGAATGTATCAAATAATGAATGTCATGAGAACACTTAAAATATTTTCCATAAACTGATGAGAATTTTGTTGCACAGCCTCCCACGTGAACCAGCTAGGAGGAGTTCATAACCTCTAGCTTATTTAAGGTTTTTCTAATATGATTAGAAGATTGTAGCCTGTGAGGAAATGGACAGCTGAAACATGGAAGTGAAAGCGAAATGCATTGAGCATGTTATCACTCTTGATAAAAAAGGATAAGACTATATGGGGGTGAAAGTAACAATAAGGAAACTTTGTGAATAATTCCAACAACAATATGAAACAACTAAACAAGGATATTATATCCTAGGAAATTAATGAAGACTAAAATATGAAACTACGGCCTTATATCCTTGGAATGTCGTTTCCATGCCAATCATAATAATTTGGGATGATTAGAGCATTATTTACATTTCATGTTTATTCTTGTATGAAAGTATTATATTAATGGGAAATAATTATCTCGTGTTGCATGAGATAATTATCTCATGCAACAGAGACAAAGTAGTGGGATCCATTATTTTATTTTTATTTTTTTTGAAAAAGTAATGGATCTCACTATCTTGTTTATGTTTCATGAGATAATTATCTCATATAACATGAGATAAATAAATTTCTGTATTAATTTATTCACATGTTAATTAGGCTGTGGCCTTGGGATGGAATCATATATTCCAAGAATATATAATTGGTAATATTTACTCAACTTGTGAGAATAAACCGCGTTAACTTAAAGATGTTGGTTCAATTTTCAATAAGTATTTATTATCTATGGATTTAGATTAACTTATTTTGTGTTCACAATAACTTTCAATTAGTTATAAAATTCCAAGAAAGAGTTAGAAGTTAAGGGATCACTAATTATAAATAAATTGTAGTCATTAAATCTAGTTAGGATCAATTGCTTATATGAAGTATAAAACTTTTATTCTTATATTAAGTATAAAATAATATTCTTTTATATATAAGGTGAGAATTATTTATATTAGTAAAAGTTATGTTCTCAATTTTAATCGTATATCTCATTTATATTTAATTGTTTTAATTATGTGAACTATTGAATATAAATGAATAAATAAACAAAAATAAATATAAAATTTATTATTCTTACATAAATATTAAAATTTTAAAAAGATGGAGTTAGATATTGGTGACTCTTGATGTGAGTCATTTGTACAAGTGCAAGAATATTCTCCTAGTCCTAGATAGTGAGCCATTTGTACACTTATATCTAACTCCACTCACCTATTTCTACATTTCTTAATGCTTGTTTGGATTCTTTTACATATGTTGAATTTTTATTTTTTTTGGATTGCTCCACTGGTTTCCGAGGTTTCGCCCTGACTATGTTCAGTCCGACTCGGGTAGGTTACATAGCAATGGCAGGTGAGTCTCTCAGCGAGAATTTTTTACATACACAAAATCTCGAACTCGAGTCCTTGCTTAAGCGAACCCAAGTACCTTACCACTTGAGCCAACCCCGGTACATATGTTGAATTTTAACTACTAGATTTTTTGCTGACATTTTTACTAGGTTATCCAATTTTGTTTTAGTTTTTGAGTTAGCACAAGCGAGTGATATTTCTTCATTCGCATGCAGTATTTCAGATACTTGTAACTAATGTTATTATCGGGTCAGTGAGTTATTGATTAAACCACTTAAATTGAATTTATGTCAAAATATATAATAAATATATAAATAAAAATAATATGAGAACCAAAATAATTTGGATTATTAATTGGCATGTCACTTCCCTTACTTTATGTATCAACTTCAAATCCTAAGGAGGCGTTTGGTTAAGTAGAAAATTTTTCAATACTAGGAAAATGTAATTACTAAAAAAATGATTGGAAAATGAGTTTGGTAGGAAAATGTAAAAAAAGTTGTTTGGTTGACCGAAATATTTCCATGGAAATTTATTTAAATTTGCAAAATCTATGTTCGGGAGAAACTTCGCACCTGTTTTTTCACTTCTCCAGGTATCTCAAAATACCACATCTCAAGTGATATTCTGTAACAGTGAATTTCATCCAAAAATCAACACAAAAGTTATTTCCCCATCTATCCTATTTGCTTAATATTTTTTTCAAAAACATGAACCAAACGTGATATTTTTTAATATTCACTTACACTTTTTCATCAATCTCAAAATAAATCTTTTACCAAACACTAGCTAAGAGTGTAATTGTAATTAAATATTTTGTTACAATTTTAAAGAACCGATTCAATCAAAAAACTAGTATCGAGTCAGTAATAATTATACCCAATTTTTTACAGATTCACCGGTTTTTAACCCAGTTACATGTATAACCGATTAATTAATTAAAGCAAATCGGTTAAAAATTCGTTTCCAATTCAATCAATCCTACCGGCTGGGCGGGGTTTAATAATACTGTTTTGTAACTAACACCTTATGCAATCCTGGCTCGAAATCGTATAAAACAATTGGACAATGACACTGCTTTTTAGGGTCTTCAAGGAAATCTAAGCAGAGGTCCACAAAAAGTCTAAACACCTATATATTCCCACCAACAAAACAACTGAAAAATTCTAGCGGAAAAACAAAAATGTTTTAGGTAGTGTTTGGTTCGGGAGAAATTTTTTTTTATCAGGGAGATGTAATTGATAGGGAAATAGTTAGAAAGTGAGTTTGGTAGAAAAATGTAAAAAAAATTATTTGGTTGATCGAAATATTATCAGGGAAATTTATTTAAATATGCAAAATTTATGTTCGGGAGAAACTTTGCATCTGTTTTTTCACTTCCTCAATTATCTCAAAATACCACATCTTAAGTGGTATTCTGTAACAGTGAATTTCATCTAAAAATCAACATAAAAGTCATTTTCCCATCTATCCTATTTGTCTAGTATTTTTTGAAAAAAACCTGAATCAAACGTGGTATTTTCCAATATCCACTTACACTTTTTCATCAATCCCAAAATAAACTTTCAACCAAACACTAAATTAATGTTGTTAGACCGGTTAGTTGTCTTTCAATATTATGAGACGGTAATTTTATAAGTAATTACCAGAATGTTTGCCATTTTAATAAGGGAAAAGCGTTTGCACTGGCGGAGTTCAGTATGTCAGCTGGTGTCATCATATCAGAGCTAATTTTTAAAAAAATATAGTTTTTTTTCAAAAATTATGATACAATTTTAATAATAATTAAGTTTTTTAAAATAATATAATTTTGACACTGACTAAATTTTATCTGATGGATCTTTTGACACTAATGGAGTTTTTTCTTTTGGATCCACCACTGAATGTATGTCCTTTTAAGAAAAAGATAGACATAAATAGAGGAAAAAATATATCTTCTTTCACAGAAAAAGATAGACACAAAAAAATGGAACTCACACATTTTTTTTGTCTTTATTTTTTTAATAAAACCCATATCGTTTATCTTTCTCTTAAAAGATCTAAATTTGAACCCCCAAGGTAGCTCAGTTGGCAGCTGAGCTTCCAATGATTTGCTTGGGTCAAGAGTTCAAACTCTGTCTCATCCTGCCTGATCTTTGGAGGCCAAAGGACGTGCATATGTCCTCGAAGGGGAATTAGTCTGTTGAGATATATAGTCTCACATTAGTTGTATGAGCAACTAATGTGGAGTTTATAAGGCCTTGGGCACTCCCACCCTTTTAGGTAGCTTTGAGATGGTGTATCTCAAGGTTCTTTACATAGTCTCATCCTTCTTCTAGTACCCGTTGTTCCAATGAGGAGGTAGCCTTCGGATCGTATTCCAAAAACAAGGTGACCGGAGAAGATTGAATGGAGATACCCTCCAGATTATACCAAAAAAAAATACAAGATCTAAATTTCTGTCTTTTAAAAATACACACACTTTTACTTTTTAATAAAAACCAACGACTATCGAAATAAATAAAGACCAAGGACCCTCGTCTGAATGCATTGATGTTCAAGCACCTTAATCATTAGTTTAATGGGTTAATTACTGATCCAGAACACTCTAAATTACTTCATCGATACTTAATCACATGCTAGAGTTGACCTTAGAACTGCATTCCTGTGTCTTAACTTAAAAAATAGTAAAACAAAAATGCAGAGAACTTTCCACACTTCATAAATGTATGGAAAAGAATTTGTCTGAATGATTAAAAAAAAAAATAAGGGGGCTAAGAACCCAAAGCATGTGAGAGACAAATTATAATTTAAGTAACCATGTCATGTCCAAATATGGTCTCTCTTGTGAGAGAATCATGAATTACATTGCTAGAAGAGGCAAAGTCAAGGTACTGAGGGAGGTCATTTTGTTGAAGGCAAGGTTTATGATCTGTGTCCATTTGTGGATTATTGGGCATTCCAGGCTCATGTTGCATCTGGATGCAGAGCATCTCTGCTTGAGCAACTGCAAGCTGCATTTGAAGCTCAGAAACCTGGTTTTGCAAGTAGGATATGACTCCAACACAACCATACACTGGGTCCCTCACTCTTGCATGTGCTTCATACACTAAACTGCTCACTGCATCTGCTCTCTTATGAACTGGAAGTTCCTGAAACATTGTAAAAGAACCCTTTTGAGCCCAAAGGATCAAAACCCAAAAAAGTTTATTTCTTTAATCAAAAGTGAGCAAAGGGAGCACAGAAAGAGTAAGTGGTACCTGTAACATTTTGCTAACGTTGCTAGCACCAAAAACCTTGTGAACTCTGGCAAACTTTTGTGGGTCATCAGAAGGGAAATAAGGAGCAAAGATGCAATCTTGGGTGCACCGGCGTCTCAGAAGCTTGCATGAAGCACATGGGGAATTCCCACCCATTTTGATTATGAAAATCAAAGGAAACAACAAAAACTCTTTTTTTGTTTGAACAGAGGAAGTTAGTGGAATACAAAGCTTCTACTACTGGGCTTGAGAGAAAGAGAGATAGGGAGTGTTTGTATTTATAATGGCCCACAGCGTGTGAGGCTAGCCCCTAGCATGTTGTGAAATAGCATCACTAGCAAAGTATCAACCACACTCATCTTCTAAAGATATTTTATTAAATTTTGAAATATTAAACGAATGGCTTTGGCTTTTTTAATTCTCTTTTTTTGGTGTGCACTTGAAAAGATGTGCTTTGCCGATGTTTCACACGCACGAGGACTAGTGGTACCATGTGGACATTGGAGCCACGTTTTCAATGGTCATTGGTTATTAGTTTGTCTTACGAGAAATATAATTCTGCGTCACTTATGCTATCGCAGCGCAAGTTGGTTATTGCAGAATTTCAAGAAAAGGGCTGAAGCGTCTCGATTGTTCTTAGCCTTTGACTTAAAATTGTCATTACAAAATTAATAAAGGAGTAAATACTCTTTTTGTTCCTTAACAAATTTCACGATACTCACTTTAGTCCCTAACAAATAAAAAGGTCTATCGTAGTCCTTAAGAAATTTAAAATGGACCTATTTTAATCCTTTTAGGGACTAATATTGGTCTTTTTTGAATTTGCAAGGGACCATAATTTCAATTAAATGAGTCCATTTTGAATTTCTTAGGGACCACGGTGGGCCTTTTTATTTGATAAGGACTAAAACGGACATCGTGAAATTTGCTGAGGACCAAAAAGAGTATTTACTCTTAATAAAAAGGAGAAATTCTTAAGGGATTCTTGAAGTAAGAAAAAAGGGTTATATCAGTGTAACTTTTACGGAACAGAGATCAAAATATCATTTTTTGACAAAAAATTTATCTAAATACTATGTGAATAGTACTTTTTACCAGACTGTCATATAAGCATAATTCGCTGCGACGGGTAGCATATTATGTTCGTCAATGATTTTATGACACGTGGCACATTTTTGCAGGAAAAATCTGACGTGTCATAATTCGCTATCACTGATAGCGAATTTGGTCTGCAATATGGCCTCGTGTCACGAAATCATTGACCACGAAATTGGCTACTAGTGGTAGCAAATTATGACACGTGACAGTCTGGTAAAAAATACTGTTCGCGTGGTATTTGGATAAATTTTTTGATAAAATGTGATATTTTGGTCACAAATCCAAGTTTTACTCTCCATCTTGATGTTTATCTCATTTATATGTAACCATTATGATTTATTAGATGTGAGCTTTTAGATGCCAAAAATTTGATATAAGACTTCTTCTTTTTATATCAGTGTGAGAATAACCTGAGGTAAAAAAAATAAAATTACTTTTATGTTATTGAATGTATAACACTTTAATTATAACATTGTTACTAAAGTAGGAAATTATAATGATTTACAAAATTAAAATTAAAATGTATATGCAATATGCATTATTTTATTTCATATCCTCTGACGTTACTTATTATATAGAGTAAACACCTTTTTTAATCCCTGGCAATATCTACGAAGTCTTTTTCAGTCCCTGGCAATAAAAAAGGACCAAATTGGTCCCTGAAAGTACAAGAAAAGGGCCACTCTACATATTTAGGAGTTGACATAAGGACTAACATGGTCATTTTTTGTAATTTCAAGAACCAATTTGGTCCTTTTTTATTGCCAGGGACTAAAAAAGACTTCGTAGATATTGACAGGGACTAAAAAAGGTGTTTACTCTATTATATAATTTTCGGAAACAGATTGTTGCCTACTCTCAGATGTTGGAATGATGATATAATTGACCCTTATTTTCATTTATTCAGTAAATTGAGATCTCCAGAACTAATTATATAAGAACATGCATGTTCGGTAAAGATTAATCATCAAAACACAATTGCATTTCTCTCAATTCCTGGCAGATGTTGTAAATCATCAAAGTTGGAGGCTTGGAGCACCAAGAACTAGAAGAGGTCTATAATAAACTAATTTGAATCCCATGAGAAGAGAAACGGGGGAATAAATTCAACGGTTATCGCCGGCGCGCCGCCAAAGGTTGTGAATTGTGATAACTAGGTTGGCTAGTATGGCTTCCACGTTGTTTGACTCTTTCATGAACGAGTGTTGTAGCCTGATTAGTTGCGCTTAGTTAAGAGTACAGAACTAAGGGTTGCCATTACTAAGAAATGAAGATCAACGTGGATGTTTGTTAGACATACAAACATTCACGTGAATGCACACATTATCATTAATTACTCGCTCTCGCTCTCTCTCTCTAGTTGTGTGTAATTTGACTCAATTCATTTATTAGCTCAATAATCAAAGAAAATTGTCCTTTTGTACATATATATATAAGTGCTATATATATGAGTCACCAAACCTTAGGACTTTCCCATGAGTTATGCTATGCATGACAATGAATATAATATACATGACCCAATTAAATATATGAATCACATGGTGAACGTAATAACACTTAGGGACCATTTTGAGAATTTGTGAGAGCTCAAGAAAGCCTAACTGTTATTAATCTAATGACTAATTAAAGTTTTTTATTATTCAAATTAGTAGAGAATTAGATGGAAGGAAGAAATGAGAGAAATTAAATTCTTAATATGTAATAATGTGATATGATATGATATGTTACAAAAGACAAATGCTAGCTAATCCCTATCTATATTAATATTATCATAATTAAATAAGGGAAAAAAATCATGAAATATAAAAATTAACCAATTATAAGAGATTATTTATGATACTTAAGGATGTTATAACACTCGACTTTTTGACCTTTTTATCCTTTAATAATTAAAAAATAACTATTTTGCTCATATTCCAAAATTATACACCAAACTGACTCCATTTATTCGATTACAAGACACATTTAATCGATTAAGTATTGAAAAAAGAGAAGAATTATATTGATAAACTTTTTTTCTTACGAACTTACAAATTAGACTAAGTTTGACTAGTCAATATAACTTTAGTGTAGTTTGTAAGTTTATAAGAAAAAAATTTTGTCAATATAACCCTTCCCAAATGATGTAATCGATTATAAACTTCTTTTAATCGATTAAGTTTCGGTTCTTTTGACACTGCCTTCTTTTTTTTGTGCTTTTTTTTTGCTCTTGCATAATAATCACTTCCTCTTGCTTATTGTCCATGGTTGTTGGCATACTATAAGCACTCTATGCAGTAGACTAAAAGACAAGATCACACCATCAAATGTAAAAATACTAATTCACAGCATCAGCACCATTTTTATTTATACGCCTCACCTGCCTACACTTCTTTCACTACAAGAAATATGATTATTTGTGACAAAAATTTAGTGATGAATATACAATTGGTCACTAATAATATATTATCTGTGACCAAATTTTATTTTGTCACTATAATTATTTTTAATTGTGACAAAATGATAAATTGTCACTATAATTTCATTAATAGTGACAAATATATATTTATCACAAATAATTGGTCACTAATAATATATTATTTGTGGCCAAATTTTATTTTGTCACTATAATTATTTTTAATTGTGACAAAATGATAATTTATAACTAAAATTTCATTAATAGTGATAAATATATATTTATCACAAATAATTCGTCACTAATAAAAATTATTAACTAAAACACTATTTTCACATAATTAGATCGTCATTGATATAAAATTTTAAAGATGCAAAAAGAAACTAATAGTAACAAGAGGCAAATTCTAGCGGCAAAGGACTTTTTGCTTGTAGTCGGATTGTGATTGCTTCATCGGTGATTTATAATGCTAATAGATATGTTGCCCCCTGAAAAACATGAAACATGCAACTTGCAAGGAAGATGTCAATCAATTGCTAAAGTAAAAAACTCTATAAACAAAAGGAAAAGATAAAGTAGTTGAAGATACAACTTGTGCTAGGAACCGGTAAAATAGGCTTATTTCAAAAAATCCCGATATGAGCCGGTTTGAGTTTTGTGCTAGGAACCGAAATAAGAATCAAATTTTTTGTTCTTTTGTTCCCGGACACAAAATGTGAAACATCTATCTCTCAATCACTCTCCACCTCTACCATCACCACCACCACCACTACCATCATCTCGACACGACCACTGCCACCATCGTAGTCGTCGTCGTACCACCAGTTTCGTCGTTACCATCACCATAACCACCACGATGTCACCGCAACCATCACCACCGTTACTAAAACTACTACCACTGGTGCCGCCGCCGCCATCATCATCGCAGCCACTGTTGTCACTGTCATCGCCCCCACCGCCCCCGCCACAAACCACCACAATCATCGCCGCAGCCACTACCGTCACCATCACCACGCCACCATCGCCACCATTACCACCACTGTTACCATCACCACCGCCAATACACCACTACCATCGCCACCACTACTATCACTGTCATCGTCACCAACCACCATCACCATCGCAGCAGCCATTACTGTTACCACCACCACAATCGCCGCAGTCATTTTTCATAACCACTGCCATCATTGCCACTACTACCGTCGTCACAGTCACCACCACTATTACCACCATCATTCCCGTAGCCACCGCCTCCACTACCTCTACCACCATTACCATGTCATCACCACCACCACCACCACAACGCCACCGCTACCACTACAACCATCACACCGCCACCACTACCACACCATATAGAAAGGAAAATGATGATTCAAATTTTTTTATGTTTAATAGAAATTATTTTTAATATATTATTTGTTGTATTATTAAACGTAATTCTCATTATCGGAATAAAAATAAAATATGTTATAAAATATTCAATATTAATATAATAAGATATTAATAATAGAGATTGCCAAAAAAATAAATATATATTAGTGAAATTTTTTATCTTTTTCTTAGTTTTTATATCATATAAGTGATAATTATAATAATTATCGATTTTTCTCTATTTGTAATGACAAATATTGTTCATCATAAAAAATTTGTACATAATTTTTCT